TTTTGTTATTTTAACTCGTCTTTTTGTTATTTTAACTCGTCTTTTTGTTATTTTAACTCGTCTTTTTGTTATTTTAACTCGTCTTTTTGATACGTGGACATGTGTTTTTGTTACGTTGACCCGTCCCTTCCATCTACCCGCAGGCAGGTGGGAGCCGGGACGGTACCCTGTGGATGACGTAATCAAGCTGGTCTACCTGATCCTTATGCAGGTGTCAAAGGTCGGTGAGGAACCTGACTCTGACAGCAGAGTGCCTCTCTACTCGTTAACATTCTCCTTATACATGCACACACTTCAACATAAGTTAAGGACCACATTGACAGACAGCCATGATTTAAAAAAAATACCCCCCCCCCCCAAAAAAAAGACAGTAATGAATGTTTCAAAATGTTTTGCTCTGAAAGTGTTAACGGGTTAACAATGCGTAGGCCTACTGAAACGTTTCCTAAAGGGGCAAAACAACTCCGTGCAGCACGGAAATCCTCGGGGAATTTCAGCCAAATTTGCTGCTTTTTATCGATTTATGTTAAAATGTCTGGTGCACGTCATAAACGGACGTATGGTCTCGAGTTGTGCTCACTTTGTTGGCAATATAAGCCGCCAGTATCGCATCAATATACCACTTAGACGAAAGCTGAAAGACTTTAATCGTTCCAAAGCTATGGCATGGCTGCAGGATGGAGTTGGAGCCCGAGAAGATGCCAGAATGCTCGCAGTGTCACACTCTGTCATTGTCCGCCTGAGGCAGCGCCATCAAGCCACGGGATCAGTCCAAGAACGTCCACGTGCAGGTCGACCCAAGAAGACAACTCAGTGTGTTTGCAAGTGGTCCTTGACTTATGTTGAAGTCTGTATTATTACCATACTGTTATGACTTGGAAATGGCAAATGAGAAGCTATAGAAATCTAGTTCACTTTTTGGGAAATTTCTGTATCTACTTTCTGTTCTCTTTTTAGCGTCCCTGTAACTTGGAAAAATCACATCTCCAAATGATATGTGAAAAGAGAAAATCCGTTTTTCGCTTCTCCTGAAAAGTGGGGTTTTTAATTAAGATATGATAGTTTTAAACCCCCAGCCCGACTTATCAACTCTGTTTTTACTTCTGTTGCTCACTCTGAATTTGACCCC